CCCCCCCCCCCCCCCCAAACACAAAAAACAAACAAACAAACAAACAAAACAAACAAACAAAAACAAACAAAAAACCCCCAGCTAATTTGCCGTATGCCTGCCACTCTACGTTTCAGACAAAGGACACGTAAGAGAAAAACCTGCGTGAATAACGAAGTTAAATTATGCTTCTTTTTAATCAAAATTCCACAAAACTGTGCTAGTTCCGGTCATGTTGAATGATCGCTGGTCTTGTATTAGTTTGTCTTGCACATTTCATAATAATTCGTCATGCTACAAACCTAGCCTGATCCTAGCACTATCAAAGATGGACGATAATGAATTCTGAGAAACTATGCATCTCTTAGATGACCTAAAAGTGAGAGGAAATGCCTTAAACTTAAACCGTACAGCCCAGTACCGTACAGAACATGGTAACGCGATGATAGGACTCTTGTGGTCTGCTCCTGTTACTTCTACTCTTTGGTATTTCTATCCCATTCTATTCCTCACAATATCCTTGTAGACCCAGACGAACATATATGGAAAACCTTAACAGTGGGGAACGCGGGAGCAATAACGCCTACTACAGTTTTGTCTTAGTTTTTCTTTTCTTTTTTAAGTTTTGTAAGAGGTAATGGTGTAAAGGAAATGTTTTAATGAAATACAATAACAGTAAAAACACAACAAAGCATCAGCCCCCATCATACAAAAAAAAACCCAAAGAAAAAACAAACAAACAAACAAACACACACACCCCTCACCCCAACCCCCCAAAAAGCCTAACAACCAAACAAAACAACACAAAAAAGCAAAACAAACAAAAAAAGCAAACGTCAAGTTTATTTGCGTAAATGTTTGATTGATTATTTGTTTATTGGTTTACACGTGGACTAATGAATACTCAACACGATCGATTGACTAATTGGCTGAGCGATTAAGCAGCAACTGCGAGAATGGATGTGTGTGTGTGTGTGTGTGTGTGTGTGTGTGTGTGTGTGTGTGTGTGTGTGTGTGTGTGTGCGCGCGCGTGCGTGCGTGCTTGCGTGAGTGCATATGTCCGTACGTACGTTGGAAGCATTGTGTTCGAAATGCACACTGTCACAATTATGGGTTACACCAAACAAAATTTCTTTGCTGGCGTGCTTTGCTCTTGCCCGTGGAACCTTTGCGTGGGTGGTTGGCGGGTGCTCTGGTGTGGTTTGCTTCTTCTTTCCGATGAAACATCTATCGTCTTTATCTCCCCTGCTTCGTTTTTGCGTTTGTTACTCTCTCGTAACACCTCTAATCTTCGGCACTTATGTGACCTTATTGTGTTGCAGGTGCACACTTGCTAAAGCTAAATTCTTGTTTTAAAAAAAGAAAAATACTTTTGCTTGTTATGATCAAGAGCTGACTTGCTATTGAATGATACCCTAATTTCTCGCCCTTCGACTTCTGGATTTTCATTCCTCTGAATGTCTCGTTCTCGCTATGTATTTTCTGATAGTATCATTGCTAATCCTCTTGCTGGTGGTTGGAAGGATCAAACGGAAGGGCCTAATCTTTTCTTTCCCTCGAATGTTTGCCTCTGTTTTATCTTGATTTTCCCCCTACAGTAGATGGCCGCTATGGTGTCGATATACTTCTGTGTGTACTCAGAGTCGAGACTTATCCTCTGGTATGTGTTTTGACCCGTATAATCTAAAGGTTTTTGTCGGATATCGGCGCATGGGTGGTTGGCGGGTGCTCTGGTGTGGTTTGCTTCTTCTTTCCTGTCAAATATCTGTCTTTATCTCCCCTCCATTTTTGTGTTTGATATTTTCTTGTAACACCTCTAATCTTCAGCACTTATATAACCTTATTGTGTTGCAAGTGCCGTAAAACTCTAACTAAAACAAAACAAATAATCCTCTTGCTGGCGGTTGGGAGGATCAAACGGAAGGCCCTAATCTTTTCTTTCCCTCGAATGTTTGCTTCTGTTTTATTTTGATTTTCCCCCTACAGTAGATGGCCGCTATCGTATAGATACATAAACCTCTGTGTGTACTCAAGAGTCGGTCGTGACTTATCCTCTGGTATGTGTTTTGACCCGTATAATCTAAGGTTTTTATCGTATAGTGGTGTTGCTAATCTTTTTGTCTGAGTCACTGGCGTCGGTGGTGTAGCAGTTAGGCTCTTTGTTGTTGCACACACGCACTTGACGTGGGTTGGATTACTCTCTTGTACCACCTCTAACCTTGGACACTTATAATATGACCTTATTGTGTTGCAAGTGCCGTAAAACTCTTACTAAAACTAAACCCCCCCCAAAAAAAACAAAAAAAAACAACCCAACCC